AAGGCACCAAGCCCCATCACCCCGCTGCTGGCAGCCACTGCCAAGTCACCGCAAGCCCCAAAGTATTTTTCATCAACACAGACCTCCAGTCCCCTTCACCATGAAAAAAATGACAACTTTCTTTCAGCCATTTCAAAGATGTGTCTTTTCATAGGAATATGACATTTTCTTTTCTTTTCTTTTTTTTTTTTTTATCCTCACCCTGAAGGAGTGTTTCCAATTGATTTTTAGAGAGTGTGGAGGGAGGGAGAGACAGGAAGAAACATCAATGTGAGAGGGACACTTTGATTGGTTGCCTCCTGCATGAGCCCTCCACGCTCCCAGGCCCGAGGCTCGCTCTGCACGGCACAGTCTGTCTTGCCCAAAGGCGCATGGTTCTCACCCAACCGCAGGCTGCTCTCTGTACTATGGACACTCACTTCACTCCATGGAAACAGCCAGACGAGACCTGTTGAAATGTGCGTCTGTTAAAGTGGGTGGCTTCACGGTCACACACGCCTCCCACGGGGCCAGGCAATGACTGCATTAGGTTATATTGCAGTTTTTTATTAGCAGATTTACTCATCTGTATTCTTGAATCCAGTTTTTAACCATTCCCACAGCTACTTCTACTCCATATTAATACCAGAATTCTGAAATTCGCCTTAAGGAAAAATCTATGCCTAAGTAATACTGTTTTCCCCAGCTCAAGAGCCTATGAGGGCTTCCTATATCCCACCATTTCATATCTAAATTCTTAGGCTTTACACTTAAGTTCTTCCCTCACTACTTTGCTAATTCTCTGACTATCCACCATCTGACCACCCACCCAACACTGAATAGTCAGGCTTCTAAATGCTGAATCCCGTGCTAGCCACTACATTCACACACAAGGCAAGGCCTGTACAATCCCTGTCCCCAAGGAACTTAAACCTGAGGGGGTGTGGACATGCAGACGGGCAATTCGATTCCAGGGTAAGCTCTGTGCTGGGGGGCAGAAGGTGCTAGGCCAGCCGCCCTGGCAGGGTGTGGCCGGGTTCCCGCACCAACGGCCCGTCAGGAAGCACCTGCTCGGATCTGCGCTTTTGCAAGTGTTTCCATGGATCTGTGCAAACCTCCACTCGTTCTCACAACACGTCCACCTGGGCTGTTTCTCCAGCTCCGACGACGAGGAGACGGAGACAACCAGCTGAGGCCCGCACTGAACGGGGCCGGGCGGGGACGGCACCCAATCTCAGACCAGAGCCTGAGTTCTGACCCAGGAGAAAACAGTCATGGTCAGGGAAGTGGCAGATCAGAGCAAGGACATAAGAAGGGGTCGGGTTGAGGAAAATGGCCGTCATTGAGGACAAAAGGATGACAAAACAGATTTGAGACGACAGCCATACTCTTGCTCACCGCCCTGGAAGGCCCAGTGTGCTGTATGTCTCTGTGGGCACTGTTCTGTGTCCCCTCTCCCTCCTCCCTGCATGTCTCTGTG